TTTTTTATAATTAAGAAGATTCAACCTGAACTTTAGCAATATCAACAGATTAAGCAGATTGTAACAATACCAAGCGGGCTCTAAACTGATGATACCCAGAGGACAAAATTGAGTAATACTCATAGTCTATTGTTGATGGACAAAATAGGTGAATCCAATCTTTATTGTATGCAGTGAAAAAAACAACAAAAAACATGTACACTAGGAACAGATGAGAGAGTAATACCTGTAAACTGCTTGTTCCACAGCCTTCAACCGTGATGGTACCCCCAGTAATAGCTGCACCAGCTAAGAAGTAACTGGCACTCGAAGCATCACCTTCCACATAAGCATTTCCAGGAGAACTGATGACAAATTTCATTTGTACACATAAATCTGATCTTTTGGATATGAAGGATCGAATTTAATGAACTTCTCAGAATCAGATATTATCAGGGATAACAGGAAGCCTACTTACATGTATTTCTGACCTCCCCGGATCAAGAAACTGTCCCAGTTATCACTATGATGCACACTGACCCCAAACCGCTCCATCAACTTTATAGTCATTTCAACATATGGAACTGAAATAAGTTTGTCAATTATTTCAATCTCCACATCGCCTAAAGCCAGAGGAGCAGCCATTAGTAAAGCAGTCAAATATTGGCTGCTGACTGATCCTGAAAGTTTTACCTGTAAATGTAGTCCATAAGATTAGCTGGAACTAAACTTTCTTAATAACTATGTCTTGGCACTGTAAGCAGAATATGCAGTAGCACATTATAATGAACCGTAGGGGTTTGCTTGGAACATGGAAAATGCCAGAGAAAGACAACAGGGAAGAAAATATAGCAGGAATTTGAAAAGAAAGAAAATGTTGGTTCAAATTTGGCAGGTAAGGAACTAAAATATTGGTTCAGACTCATATAATTTAGGTTTAATATTTATTCAAATTCAACTTTATTTAGTTATTATTTGTTTTCTGTAAATACAAAGAAATCTAAACATATGTAAAAAAGATTTCACTTCCCACTGCATTTTCTGAAGTAGAACAGAACATAAGAGAATAGCATAAAAAGCTTAGCATTTTCTTTCCTTTCCATATGCATTTTCAGACATCCCCACATAGACTTAGGGGCTGATTGGAACCCGGGAAATTTTATGGAAAAGATATAAGGAGGAAACTATTTAATTGGTTCAAACTCAAAAATTGATATTGCATATTGGTTTGAGCTTATTTAATTCACATATTTCTATACAGACCAAAAAAATTAATTATATGCGAAGCTCCAAAAGTTTTAATCAAATTTGATTTAGTTTTTCTAAAGTAAAGCCAAACACTAAATCCCTAAAATCCTAAACAGATTTTTCAATTTCCTACCTTTCCTCCTGGAAGGCCGCCCTTTCCAATGACTCGAACCGGGGGACAGTTGGTGCCCAAATAGCAATCAACATCTGCTCCAAGCTGCTTTAAACCAATGACAAGATCACCGATAGGTCTTTCTCTCATCCTAGGGACTCCGTCAAGTACATATCTATTGACAGATAAAAGCAATTAACAATCTTAACCAAATTGTGTTTCTATCACAATCAACAAAGTCTAAAAATGATTGGGGATGTAAGGCAAAAAACCTAGCATTTCCACCGGCTGCAACAACTGCAGCAGTCAAAGGTCTCATTGCTGTTCCGGCATTTCCAAGGAATAGTTGAATTTCATCATTTGTTGAATCATTACTTACAGGGAAGAGACCACCTGAACCTTCTACAGTTGCTTGCTGAATTGAACTGTCTTGTTCAACCCTAAGACCGAGTGTTCTCAAGGCACCAAGCATATAATGGACATCATCACTGTTCAGTAAATTTTCCACCACAGTTGTTCCCTGAGTTCATATATTGCGGAAAATGGGAATATGTAATAATTGCACCAGACATATATATTGACAGAAAATAAAAACTAAATCAAGTCCTTTAATCATCATAAAAATAAAGCTGGAACCTTTCAACCAATACAGCCCAGTCCAAATCGCAGAATCCACTTAAACACTACAGAACTTAAACTGTTATAGTCAATGTCAAAAGTCAATACCTGAGAAAGAGCAGCAAGGAGGAGGATGCGATTGGAGAGAGATTTGGAGCCGGGCAGCTTGACTGTGCCCGAAATATCTTTAATAGGTTCAAGAACTATCTCCTCCGGAGCTTTTGATATTATCTCAGCGGTTGCCACCGCTGCCCGGACCTGTAACGGCGACCGGGTGGCAGTAAAAATTGAATCTTTCTTGGTCTTCTCCGGGAATTTAACAGAAACAGCTGGATTGTTCAAGCTGTTTGACCTGGAAAAGGACAAAGGTGAAGGAGGGGTACGCAATTTGGAGAGGTTGCTGGGGTTGAAACGTAACCTTTGAATCGCCGCACTGGCTTTCTCCATGTCTCTGTAATTCGCAAAGATTGAGGTTTTTCTTCAATCGAAATGAAATCGGCAGGTAAGTTAGGTAGACTGAAGGAGCTGAAGGGAGAGGGTTTGGCGGGGAGATATGCGCTTGCTCTTTCAAGTTTCAACCAGTCGCTCTTAAGTGTGATGATGATGATGGCTTTTTGTCAACAACCCCTTCCATTTCACTTCTTTAAGATTCACCAACCAGCGAGAGGTTGGTGGGAACTGGGAAGGGTAGGCCAGGCAGTTTTTGAGAGACGCTTGACAGTTGACATTTGCTCAGAAGATGTGCTCCCGATATAGGTTATGGACTTAAGGGGCGAACAGAAAGTGTTTTGCCGTTTTGCGCAGAGAATGTTTTGCCCAACCCACATTTTGGGGAGATTATTTACTTTTGATTTAGAACCCATTTGATAGGATTGATTCTCCCCAAATTTATGTTTGAAAAGTTTGAGTGACATTCCTTATTCGGAATAGAATATTTATAATACATTGAATTTCTATTGATGGGCGGGATTTTATTGTATTTTCTGAAGCATATAAAAATATCTACTTAACTCAACGGTTTAGAGTACTGCTTTCATACGGCGGGAGTCATTGGTTCAAATCCAATAGTAGGTGGAAAAAAAATTCTCTCTATGAAAAGTTGTTGCCATCCGTCTTTTCTGAAACGCAGCGCCTTTTTTTCGATTTTTTTTGTTTTGTTCTGAAAAATATTTATCAGAACAGGGAATGTCTGCATTGGTTGATTTTGCTGATTTGAGAAAAATTTGTCTTTAAAATATATTTTATTAATAAAATAAAGAAAAATCTATATGTAAAAATAGTTAAAATGATCATCTACAATAACTTCAGCCAATACAGTTAGAAAAATAACTCTAAATTACTTTTTCTGCTTATTACATAATTCAACGTGCGAAAGTAAAAATCACGTGTTTGGTGAAAAGTTGACTGATAAGCCTGATAAGCCGAAAACAGTATTGCCAAACGGCCTCTTAAGATGTGTTTGCAAAAACTTAAAAACAAGCATTTTTTAGCTTTTGACTATAAAAAAGTTAAAGTTGATGTTTTTAAGTAACAACTTTTGCTTAAATTAATTACTTAAAAATCAAAAGCTGGAAGCAGGTTGAGAGGTGCTTTAATCACAGTTCGATATTTTCTTAACGTGTTGAATTCTTTTGTTCATATGTTTTTTGTTCTTTAAATCAATTTTTTTGGACCGGGCCGTCTCAGCCCAGAACTGGGACCGGACCAACTGGGGTCCATGTCAAGTTTGATGGTCTAATTTACAAGAGTACCCAAGCATTCTATATGTTTAACCACTCTTTGGGTATTTTCTCACCTTGTAGAATTCTTTCGTTCATATGTTTCTTGTTCTTTAAATCAATTGATTGGTATTTGTCTATTTGATATTTATTGGTCTATTTCGTTTACTAGTACGAAGCAGTTGATGACTTGATTCTATTTTAGCCTTGCAGCTTTTAGATCAACGCCTTAAAATCAGACAATGTGCCATGCACATTGTGATCATCATCGGATCGATATGGAGGCATGGAGCCCATTGCTCGCAAGAAATCTCAAGACAATTGAATAGTCAAAGGAAGGGTCGGGCAAAATGGTTTGGTTTGACCGAATCAAACCGAAAATTGGTCGCTTGGTTTGATTTGAGTATATACTTAATTACTTAGGAAAACCGTTTGGTAGCAATTTGTTCAAACAAAATGATTTGGTTTGGTTTGATTTAAAACTGAAAAAACGTAAATCGAACCAAACACCAAATAACTTGTAATATATAATTATTTGTATTTTTCTTTACTCTTCATCTTTAGGATATAAATAAATAATTTAAACATGAAAAATACAAATTTAGCATATACTCCGTACTATTTTAACTTTTACACATTTCATACATTCGTTATGATAGAGTTAGCTAATACAACATATTTGCATTTGTTACGTTTTGTACTCTAGCTGTATGAAAAGATATTCGGCGATAAAAATAGCAAATTGCATTTATATGTACTAATATTTTATTATTTCTTTTTCTATCTTTTATTTCCTTTCACAAGTCATTTAAATAATAAATAAAAGAAGATGAGATGGACTACTACTTCTATCTTTTCGTTCCATTTATATAGAACTTGATCAATTTAAATAATAAACATAAGAAACCGAATCAAATCGAACTAAATTGAACCTAATAATTTTCACTTTGATAAACCAAACTTCAAACCGAACCGAAACACAAATGATTTTAGTTTGGTACAAATTCTCCCAAACCAGATAAATTGAAATCGAACCGAAACCGAAGAAAATCAAACCGTAAACCAAATTGTCCTCCTCTAGGTTCTAGTCAAAGGTGACTAAGCACGACGACCAAAGCCACGAGAGTGTTCGAAGTATGGTTTCACGTCCAATAGATCTTTTATCCTCGACTGAGTGGGATAATCTGGGATAAAAAGTTCAATTTTGGTTCCAAATTTTGACACCAATAATTTATATTTCAAGCATTTTACATTTTTACAGAAGTTATTCAAACTGGAAAAGTTAACAACTTTTTAAACTTATGCGTTTTCTTATCCTTGATGTTCTAAAATGTTCAAAATTCGGACATCAACAACACTACTTTTAGAAAAATATACATAAGTTACCTCAATTCTCAGTCTAATAGTAGTTTTACAAAAACAGAACATAGAGAACATGAATACCCCTAAGCAGCAGTTCATGGTTTTGAAGCAATTGAGAGTATGTTATTGTTCTTGACATTCACAATAGTATTTTTTTGGAAAATGGATAAAGGTAGAGATTTAAGTATTAATTTGGCCTCAAGTAAAACTACATGCTCTCAATGGCAATCCATTTTACAAAATGTGTCACGCAACATGAGAGAACAAACATGAGAGCACTTCCACATCAGTGCGGGGAGTAATAAGCCACAAGTCTGAGAAATAACAACAGTAGGGGTGGATGAGGATACGACTCCAGTCCTGTCAGTCACTTGAGGCCATGAGGGTACCTTAATGATGGGTTCAAAAGCCATTTTGAGTTTCTCTGAAACAAAACAAAAAAGAATTGAAGGTTTAATCATCATCCCCCGCATCCTCGGGGTCGAAGTCTTTGACCTTCACGTCTGCATCCTCAGCATACTGAATGCAGCAGTCAATCTGGGATAGTACATATTGTATACTGCAATAGGAAGAGCATCATAACTGTCAGTTTTTTCGCAATTAAGCTTCACATACTTGCAAGAGAAATATACATTCCTTTCGTCCAATAAAACTTTGCCAACTTTCTCTTTTAGCTGTCCCAAGATACTGTCATTTCCATTAAAGTAATAAATATGTGGCTAAAATTAATTCTCTCCTGTGCACAAATATCAACCACGCAATTTTTACTTTATTATTATACGAGCAAGTCAACTTTGGTCAAGTTTTATGGGACAGAGGAAGTATAATATAACATCGCAACTATCACTTTAATATAACATCGCAACTATCACATTCTTTTATGAATTCATTGGGCCACCTTCAACAAATCTTTATAATCCAGAGGAACCATTAAACTTTTCAAATTTATTAACGATATTTTTCTCTGCTCATTCCTGTTCATACACTAAATTATGAAAGGAAATAGATGAATTTTATTAAATGGATCGCGGGTGGATTTTTTTATTGAGCTTTTAATGGATAACGGATAGAATCGCAAATTCATTTCAAACTACCAATCCGTCCCAATTTGATCCAAATTAACATTTATTCAATCCGCCCATTTGCCACCCTCTCTTTCCAGGTATAAGAGATGTCTAATCACTTGGAGGGGGGTGATTCAGTAATTCACCTGCTCTCTTTCCTCAAATCAAGAGGCAGAAAGTCAACCATGCTATACTGATCCACCTGATGTAACACAGAAATCTTAAACAGTGAGCAAGCCAAGTACAAACCCATTTTATTACACATACATACACACATGTGTGTGCGAAATAATGCCTTGCAGAACTGCATAAGCACATGAAAATAAGAAGGGCATAAAAAATTGGTCTTATAGGTGGTAACTTGGTAGTTTACTTCATGATTTTCTAGAATCTATCATAAAGCATAAACAAAGAGTGAGAGTTTAAAGCAAAAGAAGAGCATAATCATCATCATTACCCCAATGCCGCAAAGGCTCCCACCTTTGGTGGGGTAAGGGGGGTCAGATGTACGCAGTCTTACCCCCGTACTAAATACACCGAGAGACTGACTGTTTCCAGATGACCCATAGTGAAAATCACATCATAAATTGCATGGACGAACTGCTACTGCATACTCCCTCAATCCCATTTTATAAGATATCTTTCCTATTCACTTGGTCAACACAAATCACTCTTACTCTCTTCATATACCAAATTTTTATCAAATTTGATTCTGGTTTTTGCAACTTTGTAAAGATTTTAATGTCGTTTCTGAATATGTAATTCTTTTTTTCTAAAAATAATTTGAGTGCGGACAAGGATCCGTTTGCTTTATTGTCGGTCAAACATCGTAAACCATAAAGTGCCTTACAATTCGGGATAGAGGGAGTAACAAATAAGCACAAACAGTTTGGTGAGCCATTTTCTTTATTCCATCTTAGGATGTTTTTACTTGGACTATAATTTGCTGGTCTAATCTGTTCTGGTAATGTTTGGTCTCTATGTATTTTTATAACTATCCAAGTCTGGTCCGGTCTAGGACGGATTACAGTCCAAGTAAAAACATCTTTATTCTCAAGCCAAAAAATAGTGAGTCTTTGGCTCCATTGCAAATGATTGAAAACGGAAGAAGAGCATAATATTGAAAAAAAATCGACAGCAGTAGTGATAGGTTTGTGATTGTGAGAAAACATGCTGATTAATAGGAGCACTAGTGACGTGCATTGTCAAACAAATACTACTGGATTATTTTGCATAGTATGAATGAGTAGTACACTACTTATTAGATGGAATGCTGGATGGAACCAAGTCTGTAATAAATGAAAATATTTCAGATTCCGTATTCAATCTTATTAAAAATTGTCTCTTCGTTCTTACCAATTCAATCAAGGATTTGTTGAGCTTTTGAAATTGTGGAGCCATGCGCTTATTCAACTCTGCCAAAAGAAATTGAGGATCTGGATTCAAGTACCTACAAGATTAAAAGAAATGCATAGTTTTGTGAAATAAAGAGTAAGAATAGTTTCAAATAAAAGCAAAATTGGTCAAGGACTTACTCTTCAATGCCTTTTTTATTTGTGATTAGGTCCATTTTGGACAGAATGTTGACATGAGGCAATTCAAGTTGAACCATCGCAGAGAGAGAAGCCATACAACCACTTATGAATTTGGTCACATCCGTGATAAACTGGAAAGTAACAATGCAGTGATTAATCTCAAATAGACATTAAACTACCTAAAAGACACCTGCAGAATGCATGATCACATGTGCATACCTGAGAATCAAGTAAATAAACTACACAGATATTGAAATTTTTACTCTTCAAATATTCCACAAAATTCTTTAGCACAGGAACATGTGAGAACAGTTCAATTTGTCCTGCAAAAAAGTTCAATAGATGTGAACAGTGAAAATATTGACCGCAAGCAATTTTTAAATGAAAGTCTTTGAAGGCAAAAACATGAAAAAGAGGCAAAAAGATGTAGCATGTGGGTCAAAGTGTGATACAAGCACTTGGATAGTTGGATTCTAAGAAGCCATTGCCCAGTAGCCACATCTTAGAATTTTATTTCAAAAGATGACGATGGAAATACATCAATTACCAGGGCAGTCAAAAACTAGGTAGTCATCATCCAAATAATTTTCCAACTCTTCAGTTAGCCACTCATCCAAATTTTCTTCTAGGTGTCTAATTCAACATTAAGGGCATAGTGGCATACATATTTTGAACTTCAAAGGAGATACTATTAAGAAACTCTAGTAAAGCAGAGATAATGGCTTGTGAAGTTATCATAAGATGTATAGCGAATCTTAATTGCTCAAAATAAAACTCAAGAACCATAAGGTGAGCTCTGTCATAATAGGAATGTGAAATAGGATACTCCATGCAATAAAGAAGACCACCATTGGGGCCTAGACCCAATTCCTCCATAACATCATCCAATGAAATCAACTCCCTGATGTCTGCACCAAATATAAAAACAACCCATTTCTCAAGTCTGAGAAAGTGTTTAATATTATTTCTAAATTTATCAGAAATATTTACTCACTCACCTACAGCAACTGGATAGTCAAAATTCTCTGCAGCAGGATCTAAGTTCACTATATGAACTGTTCGCCGTGTGGCTTCACAATGTTGATGCAAGCTTGAGCAATAAGTTGACTGTGACAGGCAAATTATTTATACTTAGTCCCTGATGGTAAAACACATAAGAAGAACAATTGGAAAATTCTAGAGAGAAACTCAAAATGATCTTCGAGTCACAATGTTGCCTGCTAAAGAAATTTGAAGTGACAATTTTTGTCACCTTTCCACTGCCAGCAGGGCCAATGACTAGCTGTGCATAACACATGATCTCTTTTCTCTAATGCCCTTTGCTGAAGCTTTAAGATCAACAGAGTGTGGTTTCAACTTTCAAAGATCGATCAGCGATAACAAGCCCTATAACCAATACCTGTATTGAACACCAGCGAGAAACTGTAAGCATAGAAGGAAATTTGAGGAAAGGGTGAAATCAGCCCTTCAATTTCCATCATTTGCAATGGAGCCAAAGACTCACTATTTTTTGGCTTGGGAATATGATGAAATAAAGCAAAATGGCTCACTAAACTGTCTGCGCTTCTTTGTAATGAAGCAACGGGTAGTCCTTGCGATTTTCGACGCGATTTTCACTATGGTCATCCAGAAACAATCTCTTTGTGCTTTAGTACAAGGGTAAGACTGCGTACATCCGACCCCCCCTTACCCCCACCAAAGTTCTTTGCAGTACCGGGGTAATGATAACGAATGGATGAATGGTGAATGGTGAAATCAGCCCTTCAACTATTCTGAATCCATCACCTAAGCCCCTCTACCCAAAAATGTATCACATGTGCCCATTTCCAAACAAGGCTGTCATGGCTCCAAGTGAGGCCCGACATTAGTGAACTGCCTTATCTCCTAGGCCATCATCTACGAGTCAACTAGGCAACTTGATCGCGCGCTCGCTCAAAGTAAATAATTAAATATAATAGAATTATGTGTTATAAAATATATATCAATCTATTAATATACAACAACATCCAGGACTTAGTCCTGAAACACCTCAAATGAAAGAGGCCTAAAATTGTACTCCCTCCGCATTTTTTGTTTGCTACACTTTCCTTTTTGGGTGTATTAAAAAATTTGCTACAATTTTCTTTTTTGGTAAGTTTTTCCTTTAAAAATACTCAACTACTCTTACTTTTTCTACTTTTTATCTTCTCTTTCATACTTTTTCACCATCTCTCCTACTTTTTCTACACTATTCATTACCCCTACTATTTCACTCTTAGAACATGTGCCAACACTTATTATAGCAAACAAAAAAAAAAATACGGAGGGAGTAACTTTTAGGCCTACCTTATATGAACAGTTTCCTATATATACGTGTAACTAGAAAAAATAGTGTATACATCTATATGTACATATATGAGTGAGTGTAATTAGTGATATTATATGATTCAAAAGTAGCGTAGTTGTGAATATGTGTACTCTTGACCAAGTGGTAACAAATGGGGAATCTATCCACATTATCTGGGTTCAAAACTTTTCTTATCCCTTTAAAGTTATATTTTTCTTAAACCCTTTTATAACCTTTAAAATTTAAATTGGTCTAGAATGATCGAGGATAGTTTTGTTTAGTGTTTTTCATGTTTGAATGAGTTTATTTATCTAAAATGAGCAAACTTTCTGAATCCACAACCACAAAAACCCTCAAACTCCAGAAATAAAGGCATAATAAAGTTGAACTAAATCAAAATATAACAAAAATATAACTGAAAGTAAAGTACATACCTGAAAATAGGAAGATCAGAGACTCAGCGAGCAGGCAGGGGCGGAGGCAGCAGCAGCACAGGGCGGTAGGGCACTTCGGTATGCGAAGCGAAGAATTGCAGGGCTATCTGGTCGATTCCGGCGAAGTGGTGAACGCCAACCTACGCGAGCGGCAGCAGGTTTCAACTTGCCTGCTTCGTCGCGGCTTCGGGGCTTTGCTGTCGCTTCGATTGGGCTTTTGTTTTTTTAATTTAGAGTTACTCCTCCATCCCCTTTTTAATTTAGCATATTAAATATTGAAATGTCTCTATTTAATTGTCTCTTATCTTATTTGGTAAAATTTGTGTGGTTCAAAATCATTCTTACTTTATTCTTACTTTATCAATTAATATCAATCACACAAACTCATTTTTCTTAAAACTCGTGTAACCTTCTTCTGGAACATTTAAAAGGGGCGGAGGGAGTTACTATTTGGAGTGGTGTAGGTCCATATGATTATGAATCCAAAATGTTACAAGATAGAATTTTTGGACACTGAACCTAGTTAGTTCAATAAGGTACGAGAATTAAAAGACATTTGACACGTACTTTTTTATTTGGTAACACTAATGAAAAAAAGGTCGAGAAGTCGATAAAAAAACATTGGCTTTTAAAAAAGTGTAAATATGTATACGTGTATAATACAGTATTTGTTACAAAAATTCAGACAAAAAATACGGGGTCTAGTTCAATTTAAAATTAAATTAAAGTAAAACATTACTTATAATAATTTAATTAATGTTTTATTAAATTGATATGTTACAAAATATGTCGAGAATATTTTATTGATGATGATGCAATGCAGGGAAATATGAGTCAAAACATTGTTTTCATATGAACGAAGTCTATTTTTGACATTTTGACATCAACACCACTCAAATGGTCTTAGGAACACTCAAAGAACCTTCCATTCCATTCCATTTTGACATTGTCAATGCACAAATTTGTCTCTCAATGCACATTTTGACATTGACACCATTCAAATACTTTTCCACTCCTATTCATGGTAATATCCGTATTATATACGCATGTTTAATTACTTTTAAAACACGGTAAAAAAACAAAAAAAAAAACAAATAATTTTAACTTGCTATAGTAGATTTTTTACAAAATAATGAAAACAATTTATTAATCTTATAAAAAATAATATAAGTTTGAAAATTAATGTAATAATAATATAACAATAGTATTAGTTCAAAAATTGATAGATACTTTAAAAAGTTAGAATAAAAAAGTAGAAAAAAATAAAAATAAAATCAAAGGGTAAAAAGTATGAAATTAAAATGCAATAAATTTTAGAAACATGTAGAACATACATATAGTTCCAAAAAATATAAATTATAGATTTTGATATTCTTAAATTGCACAATTTTTATTTATAATTCTTCAAATGTTAACAAATTTTTAAGTTTTTAATATGAAAACATGCTATTACAGATCAAAAACCGATAAAAATGCAAGATTGATTGTTTTTTTTAATATAAGCGTACTTATATGACAAGAATTTTAAAATGCCCGTTACGGGCTCCTTAGAGTGCACGCGCATCAACTAAACGGAGTAGTACGTAACTACGTACATAGCACTATTACTTCGTAATTTCGTATAACCGGATGCATAGGAAAAACAAATGACTATTCTTACTACATTTTTCTAAAATTAGGCTAAAGAATTAATTTACATGAATTAATTTAAAGCGTTCAATTAGCTCCTTTTATAGGAGGTTCTACCCGGCCATCGCCAATTGGGGCGTTTTCCGGTGGAATTTCTTGATGAAATTTTTTGAGCATCTTCTTTATTAAATATAGTTTATTCATACCAAATTTTAGCTAAAACTTCAACCGGGAAGGCAGTCAAATAATTTTTTGAAGATAACTGTGCAGTTAAACAGCGCAGTACATTTCAGAAAAAAATATTAAGATCATGTTTGGTGACCATAAAATATGTAACTTTTGATTTCGTTTGCTGAGCAATATAATAATCAAATACATAAGGTTGAATTTAATTTTCTGGCTGAATTCGTTGAAGTTGCTGCAGAGAACCATTTTAACTATTTTCATATTCTTTTTCTTTATTTTATATAATTCCGAAATATTGTTTTTTCATAATTTAACAGAACCAGTCAATTCAGCCACTTAAACAAAGAACTTCATAAATTTCAGCAGAATCATCCAATTTAACCAAATTCAGAACCAATTTGGTGACCATGTTTTTCGGTTTATCAGTCTTATCTGTCATTTTTTCACCAAAAATGTGACTTTTGATTTTGCGTGTTGAGTTGTATGATAATGAATATATTAGGGGTTTAGTTACTTTTCTGACTAAATTGACTGAAGTCACTATATATAGAAAACCATTTTAGCTACTTATCATACAATTTTTCTTTATTTTATTAATAAAATATATTTTTAATTTAATTTTTTCATAATTTGGCATAATAAGTCAATCCAACCACTTTAACAAGAATTTCGTAAACTTCGGCAGAATCAGCCGATTCAACCAATTCCAGTATTACCGAACAATCTCTCAGTGTTACGAAATGGGCTTTAATTCCTTTAAATGTGCAAACCCATCTTATCCCGTATTTTATCGGTTCAGGATTGGTAAAAAAAAAAAAGTTCATCCCGTATCGTTAATCAATTCGGTACCATTACGGTGTAGTTCAGTCCATTTGGTTCGATACCATGCATTTTCATTTTTTGGTTGTTACAAAAAGTTTCTCACTTTTTCATTAGATTAAGAACCTGTTTGGTAAAACTTAAATTGTCTGAATCAGCTGATTCTATTAAAATTTATGAAATTTTGGCCGAGGTGGTTGGATTGGCTAATTCTATTGATATATGAAAATTGTATATTAAAAAAATAGAAATAATTATATGAAAATAGCTAAAATAATCCTCTGCAATAACTTTAGTCAATATATCCAGAAAATTAACTTTAATCTTAGTATATTCATTATCACACAACTCAGCATGCTAAATATAAAGTCACACGTTTTGTGAAAAAAATGAGTGATAAGATTGATAAGCCGAAAAACATGATCACCAAACTGGCTCTGAATTTGGTTGAATCGGATGAATCAGATTGACTTATTCTACTAAATTATGAAAAAAAATTAAATTATACTCCCTCCATCTCGCTAAGATTGTCTCATTTTACGTTTTTGAGAAGTCCCATTAGGATTGTCTCATTACCAAAGTTTGTGTGACTCTAAATCATTCTTACTTTATTTTTACTTTTTCCATTCAATATCAACCACATAAACACACTTTTCGTAATAACTGTGTCACCTTCTTCTGTCCCAATGTTAGTGGGACAGAGGTAGTATAAAATAAAGAAAACAAAATATGAGATATATATAAATGATTCTTATAAGAATCATGGGGGCAGCAGGGCAGCTGCCCCTACTCAACCCCAAATATATATATATATATATATATATATATATATATATAAAGTTTTATAAGAAACTTCTCAAAATAAGAGTTAAATGTAGAAAAAATCTAACATAGGATTAAGGTTATTTTTTTTCATATTAAAAGACTGAAATGCTAAAAAACTCACTAAATTTTGTTATGTTTAACATATGTTTAGGTATTTTTTTTAAAATTTTATCCGCAATTGCATCTTTACACAACCGTAATATAAGTTAGTCTTCTTTTTATTCATACTTTTACATAGTGTTGGACTCGGGTCGGGTCCGGGTCCGGGTCGGGCCTAGGCCCGGCTGGGCTTTTGATGTTTGGGGTGAAGGCCCGGGACTAGCCCGGCTTAGCACCGGGTCCGGGTCAGGCCGGGTCCATGTTTTTTTTCTATTCTAATTAACCCCCAACCCCCCACCCCTCAAACCCCCGCAAAACACCCAGCCCAACTCAGGAAAAGGCCCAAAAAAGTGAAGAAAAAAAAGAAAAGAAAAAGACCTGAACCGGGCCCGGGACCGGCCGGGCCAGTTCCAAAGAGTGGGCTGAACCGGGACCGCCCCACCCTAACCCCCGGGACCGGGCCTAGGAACCATAACCGGTTCACCGGACCGGGCCGGGCCCGCACAGTAGCGGTCCGGGCCGGTTCCCGAGCCGGGTGGCCCGACCCGAGTCCAAGACTACTTGTACATATATATCTTAAACTAAATTTAATCAAACAATATGAATAATGTGATTTGCTATATGTGAAATACGGAGTATGAGACTAAATTGTGTGCAAGTTTGCCCTCACTCACCAAAATTCCTGGATACGTCACTCAGTGAAACCAAAAACATATTTGATAAAAAAAATGACTGATAAACTAGACTGATTAATTGAAAAACATGGTCATCAAACGTGATTTTAACATTTTCACTTCACTAAGTAATTAATTAATATGTAGGTTTAAATTTCATCCACATTAAGTTAAAAACCTAATGTACTAACACGTGTCTTTTGCTTTTCCTGTGCATACGATTATACGATTAATACGAAGTAGCATATGTTTAGTGAGACGCGTGGCTGCGTGCTCCCTAAGGAGCCCGGGCATTTTAAAATTCCTGACTTATATGATACTCCATACTTTTTTAGTAGAAGAGCTTAAGTGATAAACTCAAAATAATAGAAGAATTTATTTGACTCTTTCCCCCTTTTATTTATAAAATTGCAATAGGTTATTATCCCATAATAGAATGTAATTTCAATGGGTTATTATCCCACTCTAAATGTACCCCGTGCATCGCACAGGTGCTTCGTATAGTTAAAATTATTACATATTTATGCTTAAAGGTACTAAACATGATTTACAAAAAATATAACTAGTAACCAGAAGCGTATCTAGCGTGTGGCAGTGGGGGAAGCTACCCCTCTCAACCCCAACGCAACTCCAATATATGTGTGTGTAATTTTTTATTTATATATACAAAGCTTTGTCTTAGACTCTTAGCAAAGTTGTTGAGATGATGAACTTGTTCATTTGTGTATTTACTCTGTGGTTCCATTCTCAGAAGCAGGAATATTTTTTTTTTTCATTTTGACTCTTAATTTTGAATAGTTTTTTAGGTCTACATACTCTTATTAGTATGTAATGAAATTTAGTGACTATTAACAAAATTTTCCTGTACAAATACACCATTAGTATTTCTTATTTCATCCACCATTAGTATTTCTTATTTCATCCCTACTAAATTGATTAGTTCACGGTTTTTGACCACTACAAAGAAACAGGGCCGTAGTTACGGTCTTACCGACTTAGTCCCGGACCATAGGGTTAAAAATCCGTGACTAACCTCTTTGGTCACGGATTTAGTCCGTGACTACGTCCGTGACTACATTGGCGTGACTAAGTGTAGTCACAAACTTTTATCCGTGACTACGATTAGTCACGGATTAGTCACGGCCATAGTCTGTGACTAATTTGTGACCGGAATTGCTACTCCGGTGTGTTTGTCACGGACATATCCGTGACTACATTTTATTTAATTTTTTAATAATTTTCATTAGTCACGGACCAGTCCGTGACTAACGTTTGTTATTTTTTTAAAAATCGGCCGTATTAGTCACAGACATGTCCGTGACTAATTTTTAAAATTTGATTTTTTTTAAAAAATGCCAAGTTTTCAGAAGTTGAAATTTTCAAATTTTCGTTTCGAATTTTCAAAATTTTCAATTTGTCAAGGACTTTATCTGTGACTAATATTTTATTTTTTTAAAAAAATTAATTTCTAAAAGAATTTAAAAATAATATTTGAAAAAATCGGACAAAACATTTATCACGGACTAGATCCGTGACTAGACTTTCTGTTTTTTAAAAAAAATTAATTTTATTTAAAATTATATTTTAAATTTGTTTTAAAAAAATTGTTGTAGAATTATAACAATTAATAAAAGAAATTTATACACTTTTAATCTATCAACTGGAATAAAAGTAATAAACAGACTAGAATAAGCATTTAAAAAATAAATTTAAATTAAATATGTATCATTACAGACTCCTTCGTCCGTTATGATAATATCTAGATTCATCATAATTTAAATAATCGTCTTTGGTCTCGTGTTCTTCGTGTCGGTTGCCTCCTCGATTGCCTCCGCGGCTACCTCCGCTTTGGCCTCCGCGGCTGCCTCCGTGGCTGCCTCCGCCTTGGCTGCCTCCAGGTGTCTGAAACAGGTTATAAGACATGTCCTGAAAAGCTCTGAATGAAGGCACCCGGACCCGGAGTTGGAATGGAAATAACCGTCCATCTGCGGAACTTGAGGAGTCTGCTCAGGGTGCAGTATATACGGCTGAGGCTGAGGCTGAGACCGAAATCCGGCGTTGAGGATCCGTTCCATCGCTTCCAGCCGAGCTCTTGTTTCTTCCTCCTTTTTCCGTTGCTCCTCCAATGCTCGCTGCTGCTCCTCCAATTCCCGCTGCATTTGGGCAATACGTGGATCCTCTCCCCGCCTAGAGCGAGAAGATGAAGCTCCGCTACGGTTGTACAAAATCCGTTGCCCTTCGGCCCCCATGCAGGGAACCCGACCCTTGTACACCCCAGCTGCCTCGAGGATTGTATCATCACCCGCATCAGAATCGATCTCATCTGATTCGGTCAAACCTAGTTTAGCACGCTTCTTCTCAACGGTTGTGTTATACTTCGTCTACATGTACAAAAATTATTGAAATAAGGATCATCTTTATTTGGAATGTTATTAAATTACAGAAGTGATGTTATTTACTTCGATTTCAGCGATGCGGGGTGGCATATCGGCTTCCGATTCATCGCCGTGCTTCGTCCAACAGTGCTTGATCACCTTGAGGATCAAGATCTTCTTCTTCTCCGGCCCCGCCTACATGGTTTGAAAAAGGCTTAAAATCCATAAATAATTATAGAAATGTGAAGGTTGTAATGGTGCAAAGTTTTTTGGAATAAGAACTTACTAGAGCTTCTTAATTTTTACTCTGAGGTTTGTGGCCCCCGTGCCATTATGTCTCCAAGGCTTTCTCGGACATCCGGTTTTTCTTGCCGGATGTGCTTCTTAGCAAGAAATTTGGATCCAAAGCCCAGTGGCCCACACTTCATCCGAACACCATATGGGTTGCACCCCTCTCTCTCGGGCACGCCTAAAAGTGGGACGAAGCCAGCTAGAAATCCTTTTATTCTACGCTCTAAGAATAGCAGGGCCTTGTGCTTCGGCCCATCGAAATTTGCCCTTTATTTAAAAAAATTTAAATTAATTTATCATTTATCAAATTTTAAGTTACTACAATTACGCACTACAATTACGCACTGATTTATTTTTACCTTGAACAGCTTCCACCAAAATTCACAGACCTTCGGGTCAACGTCCGTGTAGCAAGCCCAATTCCCAAGAAAATGGCCTCCAACTATGGCTTTGATTTGCTCCAACACATCCTTTTCGCTTTAAAAATTAATAATATTTATTAATAGAAGTTTTGATTACATTTTTTCACTTTAGAAAAAATTATTTGACATTAGAAAAAGTTGATAGCTATTTACTCTTCAACCATTTCGGGTGTCACCCAAACGGCATCTTCGTTGTTGCGCTCTTCATCAGTTAAAGGGCGTAGTTCGGCCGGGTACGGGAGGTGGATTGTTCATTACTCATCTAAAATTCATTAATTTATATTTTTAAATGTTAGTGTGATTATAATAGAAGATCAATTTTTTTTTAGAAGTTTTATTAATTGAAAATGTGTATAACATATTAAACTGTGTATAAGTCTAATATGAGGGGTAGTAATTTTTTGAATTAAATTTTTTACAACTTTGATACAATACATTTTTGTATTGATTAGTCTTAAAGGTAACATGTTAAACTTTTTGGCAAGTTTACATGAGGGGACGTATTTTTTTTATGTTGTAAGTATATGAGTTTTTTATGACTTTATATAAGGAAGTTATAAAAATCAATTTAATACACTAAAAAATACTTTGACTTGAAAAATTCAGTTTTTGTATTAAAATCACTTTTGGGTAAACTTATTAACTTAATTTTTTTATTATTAATTTATTATAAGAAGTATTAAACTTAATATATTCTGCTTTTTGGGGAAAACAGTTTGTAAATTAATAGTAATTAAACAGTTTATTTTAGAAAAACAGTTTATTAAACAGTTTTATACTTTTTTATAAAAAATCAGTTGGCGTAAAAACGGTTTTATAACAATCAGTTTTTATACTTTATATAAAATCAGATTTTATACTTTCTATAAAAATCAGTTTTATACATTTTATAAAATCAGTCTAAAGTTATAAAAATCAGTTTTATAAAACTGTTTTAAACTTATTAAACTCTGTTTATAGATTAATTAATTTAAAACTGTTTTTTAAACTTATTAAAATCTATATTTTTATAAAAAAACAGTTTATTAATAAATAGTTATAAAACAGTTTATTTTTAGAAAAACTGTTTAATAGTTTTTTTTTTTATAAAAAACAATTTTTGAATAAATAATTATCAAACAGTTTATATGCAACTTATAATATATATTTACATAATTATATATTTTCGGCTAACAGCTTTTACATTTTATTTTAAATTAATTTTGGAAAACTGTTTATTAAAAAGTATAAATTTCAGCAATTAGTTTTTCATTTTATTTTAAATTAATTTCGGAAAACTGTTTATTAAAAAGCATTAATTTCGGAAAATAAATTTTTAAACAGTTTATATTTAAATATAAAGTTTTTATTTGGAAAACAGTTTATTAAATGGTATTATTTTCGTAATAAATATTTTCGTTTTGAATTGAACATGTTAAACTTTTTTGCAAGTTTAACATGAGGGGATGATGTATTGTAAATGTTTAATTTTGGAATTATATATGAGACATATTAAACTGTCTATTAGTTTAATATGAGGGAGTAAATTTTTAAATTAATTTTCGAAAATGTAAGTAAATAATAATCCTAATTTAGATATATAATTCATATATTCATGCATTTGGTTTAATAAAAAACTAAATCATGTTTAGGCATGCATATTAGACATATACACGAAAAACTTAGGCATGGATATTAAACATATACACAAAAAAATATTTAGGCATGCATTGTGTAAAAAATAGATCATGCTTGACCAAAAACAATATATAACCAAGTATATTAATAATCGTTGTGGATTTAAGACTAATTACATGCATTAGGCAAACCAAATATTCAAATCATGTATTACTACACAAAAAACCGAAATTTAATATACAAATAATTTTGAACATGCATCTTAACATTTTGAAAAAAATTATAACATAAATAGATATTCAAATTCGAATAAAAAACAAGTATTTTGGTGTTTTTTTGGTCAAGAACATGTATACATATACAAAAAGAACATGCATATTGAAAATTAAAGTATGTAATTGAGTATATACATCTACATTCGGGTATAACAAATAGAGCATGCATTTTTATTACAATAACAACAAAACATGCATTTTTAAAAATTAAAACATTTATAATTAATTATTAAACAACGAAAAAAGAAGTTGAGAACATAACCTTGATGGTGGTGGAAAGCAGCGGACGACGGAGGTGGTGGACGGCGGATAGAAGCGGGCGGCGGCGGTGGGACGGCGGTGCGGGTGGCGGTGGAGTGCAGAGGAAGGGAGAAGGGAGAGAGATATGAGGGAGAGTGAGAAGGTACATCGAGAAGGGAGAAGCGTAGTTTAAAAAAAAACCTAAGTGTTGTTTATATATGAGCGGCTAGTGACGGATGTAGTCACAGATCCGTCTGTGACTACGCCTTCGTAATCAACGAAGTCAGACACGTGGAAGACGAGGTGTCAGGGCCGCCTTTGACCGGGGTAGTCACGAACGGATCCATGACTACGTCCGTGACTAATTCAAAAATTTGAATTAGTCACGGACGGGTCCGTGACTACCTACTTTTTAGCCATTCGGTCAGCTCCTCGGGCAGGCCGGTGGACAGGGGAATAAATTCGATTTGTCACGGCCTGTTCCGTGACAAATCCGTGACTTTTTCTAGTATAAATAAGTGATGCCCGGCCCAATATTTGTGTGGAAAATAAAATGGCTAACCGAGAACCAATTGACTAGGATTCGATGTGTAGAGGTATGCAACGACTTAAGCAAATTACACAGTTTATGGAGCCTAAAAGTTTTGAAGCAGTGCAGAAAATCAGGGAGTTGATGGCTAGACCCCTTGAAAGTTTTGGCGATGATAAAGATGAGGAATCAGACTCAATCGGCAAGTCAAAAGCAAAAACCTTGTGTCAGATGCTTTGTCGTGTAGAAGAATGTACGGAGTATATGGACCCGATAAACGCAGAAGCTCAAAGGAAAATTAACGAGTTGTGGGCTAGGCCTGTTAAAAGTTTTGACGCTGATTAATAATTCTGTTTTGTTTGTTTGCTTATGATAAATGAATAATGTTAATTAGTTGTGAAAAAAAATTGTGTATTTTGTACTTATCTTTTGAATTTGATAAATAAATTTGTGTTAGTTGTTTATTAAAATCAGAAATTATTACAATATTCAGATTCTTAAAAGTAATATTCATATTCAGATCCTTGTGTTGAGTTTGTGATACAATTTTGCTCGGACGGACAGTACATGCACATACCCAAGGATTCTGTGTCCGCTTGGTTGAAGGGTATTCTGCATAATAAACCTGGGCTGCTTGTTGAGCGAGTATAAAAGGCTCATTTTTCCTACACACGCGAGAGTGGTTGACGTCAATCATATTATACTTTGAATTTTTTCTCACACCACGTGTGGGATTGACCCATTTGGAGCGGAACAAAACGCATGTCAATTTTTTCGTAGGAGAAGGCATTTGAAGTTCGAGGATCTCTTGCAAGTAACCAAAAAAATTGGTTTCCGAGTTATCATAACCGATGGTTGGGACACATAACCAACCCGCTGTTCATTGTTGGTCGGTCCTGTCCATAATCAACTGCGTGATAGGTGTAACCGTTTATCACATATGACCGCCAAACTTTGACACCGGCACCAGGGCCCCATGCTAATGATACTAACAGAGGAAGAATGAGCTGAATGCACTTGAAGGAGATAACGAACTCACCTTAGTCGGATTAGGGTTCATCGCTTGAAGACCAAAAACCAACAACAACAACGACCAATAAGATCGAGAAATTAGAAATGATCTCAAATTGTAAGAAGAGTTGAGAGCGTTTCTCTCCTGGGTACACTCGCGATCCAGTTCTCTTCGTCCGTACATCCAATGGCGTAGCTAATCTGGGTTGAATCCACGCATTGCCGATATTTGGACTTCGGATTCCCGTTGGTTTTTGGTCGTTTTTCACTCCTGAGTTCAAATCCGAGTCTGGTTTTGAAGTTAGAACCATGAATCACGACCTAAACCTCAAAATCGAAATGCAAAATCGCTGACTGTTTACTGCGAAATTGCTTTCTGTAAAAAGAGTCGATCTAAGTGTTTGTTTCTGGATTCTTTGGACTATTTAGTGTTCATCTTCATTAGATGAACATATTGACCCTGGTTTTGAGTTAAGGAAGTCCGTTTAACTGCAACTCAGTTTCCGGACACTGTTCATCGTTCTCAGCGACTTGTTCACTGCTTTCGTTCTTTGGTTTGCTTTTGGAGCGAATCCTACCTTGAGAGTGATCTCTGGAGCAGTATTTGTGGGTAGTTTCATCTTCTTGGATACCATGACAAGAACGAAACAGGGGATGGGGGAAGCTTCCACGACAAGAACCACCAGGTCATCTAAGTTCACTGTGCTGGAGACCATGAAGGAAGATTTCCCTGCTTTGAACTCTGAAGTTCTGAGGTCTGCTGAAACAAAATCTGGGAGAAACAATACTGTTGTTGGTACCTGTAATACCCAGCCATTTGGAACAAATGGGATGCAGACTGATAATGCTAAGATGGCAGGGGATATGGTTTCTCCTAATCTACCTGGGCAGATTTCTACTGCTAATATCGTGCAGACAATTCCAACTGCTGCAGCTAGCTCAGGGACTGCTACTCCTTGGTCCTCCCTTTTTAAGGACAATCGGGCACCCTCGAATGGCTTTAAATTGAGGTATATCCCGCCTAGTGGCACTATCATTGACTTTTCCGATAGAATTATGCCTAGTATGGTTGAAATGTGGGGTTTTTGTTTAGTCGGTTGTTTCACCGGAAAATTTCCCGGTCTAAAAGCGATTTATGATTTGAAGAACACATGGGGTGTTAAGTGCATTATTAAGCCCCATGATAAGGGTTGGGTTATATTTAAATTTCAAAGTGAGGATGATAGGACAAAAGTGTTGAAAGAGGGACCTTACACCATTTTTGGGAAACTACTTATGTTAAAAGCACTATCGGATGATTTTTCCTTTGATGATGAAGAGTTTCTCAAAGTACCTATTTGGGTTAAATTCCCTAACTTACACTTGAAACTTTGGAATGAGGATGCTTTGAGTGAGATTGCATCCATGGTTGGTGTCCCATTGGCTACGGACAAAGTCACACATGATAGGTCTAATCACCACTTTGCTAGAGTGCTTATTGAAGTTGATATTTCGAAGCCACCGCCACTTTCATTTCCTATTCGACTACCATCCCGGAAGGTAGTTAAACAATTTGTGGTGTATGAAACGTTCCCAAATTTTTGCTTCCATTGTAAGATATATGGGCACCACCCGTTTATTTGCAATAAGCTAGCAAAAAGGGACGATGATACGGGGAAATCAAGTGAGAAAGCTGAAGATGAACAAATAAAAATTGGGGGAAAGGAAAACATACCTGCGGAAATTGTGGAAACTGTTGAACCCGCTGCCCAATCCAGTCTGACAGAATCTGCCCAGGAGATCCACCCGACTGTCCAGGGGCAAAACCCGACCGGGACAGCCACAAACCCGACCGGGTTTAAACGGCAGTCTGATTCCCAGGTTGCCCAATGGTGTCCAGAAGTTGTGAAAAGCTCAAATGAACAATTCGTGGCCGCTTTGGAAGATATTGAGAGGGTAGTTACGGATGAGAGTGATTTGCACCAACATGATGTCGTCATCAAATGTGAGATGGTTAACGGTAAGACACTCAAGTTGGTTGTCAAACCGTTCAG